AGCAGGTAGGTGCCCAAAGAGCCTGTGACCCTGTGGGAAGCCCACGCTGGAGCAGTCCACTCCTGAAGGACTGCACCCTGAGGAAGGGATCCACACTGAATCAGTTCAGGAAGAGTGCGAGGAGTCCTCCCCTGAGGAGGAAGGAGCAACAGAGACAACGTGTGATGGACTGACCACAACCCCCATTCCCCATCCCTCTGCACTGCTGGGAGGGGAGGAAGTAGAGAAATTGGGAGCAAAGCTGAGCCTGGGACAAAGGGAGGGGTGGAGGGAAGGTGTTTTAGGATCTAGTTTTGTCTTTCCTTATTATACTTTGATTTGATTGGTAACTAATTAAATAATTTTCTTTCTCCAAGTCAAGTCTGTTTTGCCTGTGACCATAACTGGTGAGTGATCCCTCCCTGTCCTTGTCTCGACCCACGAGGCTTTCCTTGTATTTTCTCCTCCCCATCCCACCAGCAGGAGCAGTGAGCCAGCGGCTGCGTGGTGCTGAGCCGCCATCTGGGCCTAAACCACAACAACAGCAGAGCCAGGCAAGGTAAGGCAGAACCAGAGATGGAGGTAGCGTTGTTGAGATAAAGCCCAAAAGAAAAAACACTGCTGTGCAAAGGTACAAAATGCTGGAAGGGAAAAGCAGAGTCATAAAATGGCAGTTTGGTGACACTGGCCAATGAAGATTCATCTGGTGTCTTGCAGGGGGTGGTGGGCTTAGTCTAGTAACTTGCTAATCATAGCCAGCTGTATTAATCCATAAATTATTACTTTACACTTCTGAATCATATGTATCTGGTTGCAGACATGTTTTGTAGCTGGTGGAAGGTTATCTCGCAAAGTGACTCTCGGGGGGTGCAGACTGGCAGGGGATGCAGGCTGCAGGGGAATTCTGTTACTCTGGAAGAGGAGTAACAAAAGCTGAAAACAATTGTGCAGTCTGGTGTTGTCGTAACTATTGAGATGAGAGATTTATGGCTTGGATTTTATGGGGACTGTTAGTGGCAGCAATACAAAGAGGGGAGAGAAGGGCACAGTCGTCTCCCACCCCGAGGGACTTTTAAGGATGCGCTCGGTTCATGAGAGCTGGAAGCTTTCACGGCAGAGGGTGCGCTGAGAAATGCACGAAACACATTCATCATCTGTCAAGAGAACACTAAATTTAAAGCCAATATTCGTTTCTGCATAACGGGCTTTTTGAAGAACTGCAGAACCTGGAATGACGACTGATGTAGTGTAGACAGAAAGCATGGAATTGAAACGTGAAATGAAATTGCTAAAGGAACAGGACTGGAAATGGTGCTGAGCAAGGGGAACAGGGCTGGGGCGAGCGAGCAGATCATTCGCCTCTGCTGCAGAGCTCACATTCGGCACTTGGAATGCGAGACCCGATGGCATGATGCATGGCACATTGGCAGTCAAACCAAGTTCGAGCAGCTGTGAAGGGAGTATTGGAAGAGAAGCAATTTGTGGATCAGACCATTTGGCTCGCCAGAGGATGATTCAGCCTTGGAAAAGGGCACCGCAGAAAAGCAGAGTATGGTTGCACCTCCCAGCGCAGGGTTTAGATGAGACGTGGGCCACGGGGGACCTTTTCATTTGGCTCAGTCTTTTTGATTTGGCTCTACTGGATTTCCCGGAAAGCACACTCCTGTTCTCTCCGTATGCTGCCTTGCAAAAGGACTTGAAACATTACATTCCTCACATGGTTCTGGTTGTTACCAGACCAGTCCCCAAAGTTCATGTAGATTGTGCATGAGCAACAGGGGAAAATGTAATCAATATTATTAAAAACGAACAAACAAAGGACATCAGTGTGTTTTTTCTTTACCTTCTGGTACTCAGCAATTCTGAAATAAATAATCCTTCCTTCTCACAGCAGCTCCTGGATTTAAGGAGAATATTTAGTAGAGTATCTCCGAGAGACTCCTGAAAATCTTTTACTTTATCACACATTGGTTTAGCCCAAGAGACATCATGACAGACTGCTGCATTAGGTATTTTATTTCCCTGGATGTACTTATCTATATGAATCTTTTATTTTAAAGCATGTTCTGGAGATTATTAAGAAATGTTTAAAGTCTGACTGCCAGCATAAACTGTAATGAATATGAACATGTATTTACGACGTGCATACCTACCACAATTACGTAAGTATGCTGTAGCTTTTTAAGGATGTTAGCAGCACGTAATGGATTTTATAAAATTCAGGTAATTTTGTACTCTGTATTTTTTTCAGTAGCTTTTTGCTCAAGGCCTAGCCTGTAGCTCATAATGCTTGAAGCCAAAGAGAAGCCTGGCAGGAACTAAGGAAACCAAGATTCTGACCTGTTTACAACAAAACATAATGATCAGAGGGCTGGGGCACCTCTGCTATGGGGACAGGCTGAGAGAGTTGGGTTTGTTCAGCCTGGAGAAGAGAAGGCTCCAGGGAGACCTTATAGCCCCTTCCAGTGCCTGAAGGGGCTACAAGGAAGCTGGGGGGGACTTTTTACAAGGGCCTGTAGTGACAGGACAAGGGGTAATGGGTTTAAATTGAAAGTGGGGAGGTTTAGATTGGATATCAGGAAGAAATTCTTCCTGGAGAGGGTGGTGAGGCACTGGAACAGGTTGCCCAGAGAAGCTGTGGATGCCCCATCCCTGGAAGTGTTCAAGGCCAGGCTGGATGAGGCTTTGAGCAACCTGGTCTAGTGCAAGGTGTCCCTGCCCATGGCAGGGGGGTTGGAACTAGATGGTCTTTAAGGTCCCTTCCAACCCAAACCATTCTGTGATTCTATGATAAAACATGTATACAGACATAGCAAAAGGCGAAAGACAATGCAGAAGATATCGTGGAGAAAACAAACAGCCTGAATCTCTTTAAAATGGAGCCATTTGAAGATACGTGCATGAGCTGATGTGCAAATATTAATACAATGGGAAATCAAGGAGGATGTCAACCCCTATCAGGGAAGCCCGAAAGAATTTTCCCAACCAACCTTCTTCCTCATTTTCCAGAGCTGAAATGGGTGACGTTGATGTGGTTTGTCTGTAATGGATTAAGTTTGCATGTGGCTATCGATAAATATTTAGAATCTGAATAAGAAATTTTGGTGCTAGGGATGCGATTTCCCCACCAAACAGGACAGAGATAAAGCTGCAGCAACAAGAATCACTATGTAATAAACGTCACGCACATAACGAAAACGGAAAGACTTCAGTGTTCAATTTAAGAAAAAAATATTCTGCCACGACTATTGCAAGTGGTAGGGACAGTAAATACATTATCAAAGCAGACAGTTGCTACTGTATATGATGACCTGTTTAGGGTTATTTTCTTTAATTCATCCTAATCTGATGATGCATATAAAATTGGAGGGAGTTTATAGGTTAAAATGTCTTCTAAAAATCACTGCAGTACTTTCACAGAATGACCTCTCTTTCGTATAAAGCTGTATCACAGGAGTGCAATTTCACATGCAAGAAACCCCAGAATTTTTGTTTTAATGAGAGGAAAAAAAAAAGCTCCATCACAAAACCTAAGATCTCCAGTGCTCCATCTGCATTAGGCTTTACCGGAGGAGTTTGCTCCTGTCAATTACACTTCCACCCTATCGCACCGTTGGTCTGTAGTCACAGAATTTTAGACAGACATTCCAGCACTGTAACATTTTAAATAGCCACGTTCCAGTGCGTGCTCAAGGATGCACTTTAACGCTTCAGAGAATCTGTTAAGTGCTCTGGGCTGCTGCCTACTGAATTAGAGATTTCCTCAGCTCCATGAAGTTGTTGGAACCAACGTTCTAGTTATTCAGCTCCTGACTCTGAAGTGTCTGTGGCATCCTACATTGGTTTGGGTTTATTCTAAACCAGTGTTTTAGAGAGAGATGGTTAGTTCAGTAATGGTCCCTATTTCAACTAGGCAAATCCAATGCTATATTATAAAAACAGAGACCCAGAGAGAAGGTATTTTGGAAATACCGCACTATTCGGGAAGTTATTACTTCCTGCGTGAGGTTAAAACCATCCTTGTTCACCAGAAGCCAGCAAACACTGCGGGCTCTTAACTCCCTGACAGACATGCAGTGTTATGCCTACCGTGGCCAAGAGAAAACTTGCAAATTCCATCTTGCCTTCTGTCTCCAGAGCAAATTCAATCTTGCCTTCTGTCTCCAGAGAAAATTCCATCTTGCCTTCTGTCTCCAGAGCTGTCGCAGGTAGGGGCAGGTTAGTCACGAATGAGAGAGGTGTAGCTTCCCTTGCCTGCTTCTGGTGCGCGGCAAGCTGCCTCCCATTCAGGTCAAGCTCTTCTCTGTCCCAAAAGCTGCTGACAACACAGCTGGACTGCACATGCAACTGGTTTGTGGTAGGACTGAGAAAAAAAGCAAGTTGCCTTCTGTCTCCAGAGCTGTCGCAGGTAGGGGCAGGTTAGTCACGAATGAGAGAGGTGTAGCTTCCCTTGCCTGCTTCTGGTGCGCGGCAAGCTGCCTCCCATTCAGGTCAAGCTCTTCTCTGTCCCAAAAGCTGCTGACAACACAGCTGGACTGCACATGCAACTGGTTTGTGGTAGGACTGAGAAAAAAAGCAAGTTGCTCTATGTCTCATTAATTAAACAAAAACAGTGAATACAGAACTCAGAAAGTTAATTTTTTACTTCTTTTTAGGTTTGAGAGTGCTCTGCTGTGCTGGCTGATGGGTGGCAAGTCAGCCCATGTTCCATATTAAAATAAAACATAGTGATGTATGCTGATTACTACAGCAGGTGGATTGTCCAGTCCACATTTTAATGGCCTCTTCTTGATTTCAGTAACAGATGAACCCCTATTAGAGGGAATCAGAACTCAGGAAGTCCTAAGGATGTAAGCACTATCAGTACATCAGAACGTCAGGGTGGAAATACACAGAGCTTCTTCACTGTGCCAGCTGTAGATGTGCAGGCTCTCAATACAAACTTTGCAATGTAAATTCGACCTTTCAGATCCAACACTCTCCTCTGAAGCCTTATAAAAATACTAGTGCAACACAGAGCCTTTTTACAAAACAATTATCTTTATAGAAAGGTATTTTAGTGGTATAATGCTGAGGTAAATAATAAAACCAGACCCAACGGAGGGCATGCCCAGTGTTATGGAGAACTCCAGAAATTTGGCCAAAAACCTGTTTTATAAAAGCTAGTATTCACCTACCAGTTATGACCCCTGGTAAGGTGCTTATTGCTGTAATACTTCAAAATTATTCTTCAGTTTACAAATTGAAAAATATACGAAATTAGATCTGTATGAATGTTAGGTATTAGCTGTCACAAATTTTAAAAGGCATTGTACCAAGTTGTCTAATTTGTTTACTAACCAATTTGATTGTAGCAGGTAAATAAACTACAGCATACATTTTACCTGACACCATGCATCAAAGTCACCATAAAAACTAAGTTTATCAAAGTCCAACTCCACAAGGAAAACATGAAAAAGTGCAAATTATGTACCCAGTATTTCTGTCACAGCTGTTTTTTCTTAATATGGCATGAAAAAGGTTTAGAGCATATATTAAGAAAATTCTTACAAGTGTTCACCTCAATGCTTATATATACAACATTTTGATCAAAGTGCTCACTATATGAAAAAAACTGATAGGATAAAAATATTTAAACAGTGCTTTCTGAACATTCAGGGGAAATTCATAGAATACATCAGTCCTGTTTGTTTTCCTCTTCACTCAGTGCAACGAGATGCAGAAGTCACATCAACTTCATGAAAACTCTGCTTGCCACAGTGCCAGAAAACCGCAGTTACAGTGGCATTCTTGGTGTCCCGTTGGGAGTGGGTCTTTTGTTTTTTTGCATGTGGCTTTGATGTTTTCGAGATCTTACTACTTTCATTCTTACTTCAAATACTTCTTGTATGGCTTTTCGAAAACAATGGAAATTGTAGTCTATTAATCCTACAGAGACAGAAATGTTTTCTGTATTAATAAAGACATTTCTACAAATTAGGTAATGAAAAAATTGCTTATATTCTACATTTAGTAAAATATAACACTGTCTCTCCAGAGGTCATAATCAGTGAATTTTCCAGGTGTTTTTTTTTCTGGGCTAAGCAAACGCACATTTGATAAATACAAATAATTCAGTGGTCATTAGAGTTTCATATTATGTCCAATATTAAATATACTTACGAGTCTTAAGAGAAAACAAATAGAAGTTCGTTGGCAGATAACGAAGCCTGAACTTAATAAGAAGCTTTGGAGAAATGCTCAGTGTACTACAGGAAAAAAAAATCTTTCATAAACTATGGTGTCATTTTGCAAATTTGCTTTACAGAGTAACTGTGATAAAAATAAGCAACTTCTAGTAATCAATGTATTTTCTTTTAACAATGCATAAGCTTTGAAATGGATACTTGGCAGAAATATTACCCAATACCAGCCAGCTATATCTCATCCTCAACTGTAATGAATTTGTAAGAAATTGTAAGAAGTTCTTCCCGGAGAGGGTGGTGAGGCACTGGAACAGGTTGCCCAGAAATGTTGTGGATGCCCCATCCCTGGAAGTGTTCAAGGCCAGGCTGGATGAGGCTTTGAGCAACCTGGTCTAGTGGAAGGTGTCCCTGCCCATGGCAGGGGGGTTGGAACTGGATGGTCTTTAAGGTCCCTTCCAACCCAAACCATCCTGTGATTCTATGATTCTATGTAATTGAAAAATAAAACAGTAGACACGCTGTTAGATTATGTACATATGTAACAGGCAGATAATATTACCATGTGAGTGGGCTGAATGTGATCCCACAGAAAAGCTGTAAAGCCATATTGGTAGTCAATGGGAATACTTACTGGGTGCTACAATTGTGCAATACTGCAACACAGTTTTAGAATTTGGGTATTGAACTTATGACATCATTCAAGGTGAATGCCGTAAGCTTTCTTAACTCAAAATGCTGCGGTGTTTTCTGCTTCGATTTCCCTAACAGGGACCGATACATATTTTAAGTGGTTTAAATCCACTGTGTTACACTTTGATTTCTTTCCCAGGAATTATTTTCCCTCTCCCTAGAGTTCAGACAAGGTATTATGTGGAAGTCACCAGGCAGCAAAAGCTAATCTGCACTGTAATACCAGAACTGTGCTGCTGAAGAGTACAGGCTACAGCACAAAGTGTCCCGAACCACATAGACACAACAACCTGACACGGTTGTGGACAAACCCTAACGAGGTGTCCATGTGGCATTTTTTCAGCAAAAGTTATCTTAGGAGGTTATGTCAAAGTAACCCTTCTCATGCTTGCGGCTAAAAAAGAAAGCGGCCACATCTAACACTCACAGATAATAAAAGCGGTAATGGGTCTTCGAGAAATTCAGCCCGTTCAAGTTCTGTCACATAGAAGCTCGACAGCCTGTCAGGCAGCCCAGCAGAAGCGGTGCGAGTGCTGCATTTGCAAACACACCAACTCGTGTCACAAGCCCAGATGACGGCTTGCTCTTCCAGCGGCTCTCAGAGCATTTCACTAAGGCCAGTAACTCACTGAACACCATGCCAGCCAGCACAGCCATCACGAACTCGGCTGTCAGCACTGCCCTCCACCAGGGCCAAAGAGACAACCAAAATATTTTATATCCTTTACCTGCAAAATAGGAAAGCCATCTCGTTCCTAAATATGCAGCTTTTCAAGAGCCGACTTTCAGAGATGAGACAAGCAAGAACATATTTCTTTCTCTCAGCCAATTTCAATACTTTTCCCTCGGTTACGGCACGCAAGCTGTTCCAAAAGCGCATGCTGGTGCCAACAGGTACAAATCAACGTCAGCCAAGATGACTGACACATGCTACTGTTGCAGATGGAAGATTGACTGTACTTTATGTAAACTTTCATACGCTTTCGTATCAGAAAGCTGTCAAACACATTTCTGATCTCACCTTATCTCAATGCCAGCACAAACACCTCATGCCTTTAAACATGTTATGTGAGCTCTATCAAGCTGCACTTACCTTTAATATTTGTGATACAGCTAGAGACTGTTATCAGCTAATGACAAGCACAGTTATTCATTAACTTGCTAAGGGAAAAGGAATGCAATACTAGAAAAAAAAAAGAAAAATACCTTTTCTCTCAAAGCTTTCTTCTCTGACAAAACAAACAAGAGCAAGGAATTTTGTCACCTCTTTTAAATAAAGGACAGTTGTATTGTTCAGTTTTATGATTGCCATTGATTCTTTGTCATAAGGAGTTCCAGTGCCATCATCTTTAAGCCTAAAGGGCAATATTCAAACAAACAAGTAAGATAAGCCACCAGGTGAGCTAACAAAAGTACTCCCACATTAATTCTTTCACCAGATAATCTTAAACTTCATGAAATTTTCATTTTAACCTTTCAGGGAAGCTCTTCTTCAAACCACACACTACATAAAGTAAGACGACATAGAGATTAAATCATTTATCCACTCACACACCACATCTTAGATCTGGGGCTAGAAATCAGATTGATTGCCAAGTACCTGAACTGGAGCCTTATTTTTATCTCTAGTAGTTGCCAACCATTTACCACCAGGTTGTCTGTTTTCTTTTAATCAATGCACTATATTATGACTGTCTAAAACATGTGAACCAGAAAGTCTGTACTGGTAATTTCAAATATAGTAACCTTGCTTGAGCAGTGGCAGCTGACTGACAGTTTAAGCCATCATGAGACTTTCCTCATGAGATATTGGATTTTCCAACGTCCTTTCATGAAAAGAAATTTCACCTTTACAGATGATGTGTCATGATGATCACGGCATTCATTTCATACCTCGTAATTTTACCCTCATTACTGAATGCACACACAGATCTTGTTAAAACAGGGAGTTATCACCAACCTCCCAGAATAATTAGTATCAGTAATATATTAAGGTGGCAAGTTCTATAGATGCTCCAGGAACAGGCAACGAGAAATTAATTGGAATACCATGTCTATAGTTTTAGCTAAAAACATGGCAGGCAGGTTTGTGGTCATAAATACTAAATGGTTACACAAGACAGTGGCAGAATGTCATTTAGTTAACAGACAGCCCCCCAGGTGGTGGTGTACAGATAATAATTAAACACATGGTCTTCTGAACCTCACAGCAGCATCTTTCTCTGTACAAAAAAAAACCCAATGCCACAGAATCAGCATCCTTTATGGTATACCTCTGTAAAACACAAGTTCTTGTACAGTTACTGAAGTGACCAACTCCACAAACTGAAACATACACTAGAATACACAAATATGAGAAATTTTAGAAAGGTATTCTACAATTCGTTGTTCTTTTGAAGTTGTAAAGCTTAGTGCGCCTCTGCACTAGGATTCGCCCTCGTACCTTCTCCAGGAGCGCAAGAAGTCTGTCAGTGGGTAAGAATACAAGGCTACCACGCTCCAACCGTGCTGCGGTTGCGCCTCCACGTCTATGCATCTTAGTGCACCAATTCTTCATGTGCCCCTGCCTTTCCCAGGAACAGCTGGCTTCACATCTGGCCCACGACCAAGCCATTTAAAACATAACTTGCAAGGAGATGTACATGCTACCCCAGGAGATTTCCAGCTGCTAAGGTGTAAGGAGGGCAAGCCGAAAAAATAATCCCACAAAGGTCATGTAGAGAAAAGAGGATGAACAGAGAACTGAAGCAAGAGTGAAGCAGGTCTCTCAGGCCTGCCTAGTAGAGGCCACTAGCTATTAAACAAAACTAAACATGTCCCCACTTTTGTTTTTTTTACATAGGAGGCATCTTTCAGTTGAATTCATTCCTGGGGAACAGAAAGTAAAAGTTAATGTTTCCTTTTATTTTAGGTTGGTTCCTTCCCAGTCTTTCCTCCACATAAAATTATTAGCATAGAAAGAGGAAGGTGTTCACAAAAGGCTGGGCAGGGAACACGCTTCTTGCTGGCAGGGGATCTGTACCTCAGAGGCCTGCTATTTCCTCCTTCTCCCCTGTCTGGACAAATTACACATTCTCATCATTGTTTATACCCACATCATTCTAAGTTTTAGGTCACTCAGATTCTAGGTACACAATTTTAGGAAGAACATGAACAATTTACTTACCCATATATACAAGAAATGTCAATCACAACATCTATCATATCACAGCAGAGCTCGTAAGTTTGCATATCCACTGGAGTACTGTCCGTTGCAATATAGATCTTACTGACTACATCAAATAAAAATGCTTTTTCAATCCCAGAATTCTATTTAAGAAAAAAATGAAAGAAAAATAAAATGGAAGCCATGTCTTCAAACTGATACCAAGCTTTTTTGTTCCCCTATTTGTCTGTTATACAGAAAGCTGAAGAAGTGGAAGTTAAACTGCAGTCAGGCTCATTTTGAAAGAACTGTACATACAGCACTGTCATATTTGTAGCAAACCGTGATGCTTACAGACCTTCCAACAGTTTTTCTCTCTGAGCTGCCACAACACCAACTTACACTCCCAAACTTCCCCTCTCTGGGAAACATCTGAAGGTATTACATTTACTTTCAGTGGAAAATGCAGCGGCGGGGGGGGGGGGTCTTACACAATCAAGCTTTTGGGTTCAACAATGGACCTAAAAAACGAGCTGTAATTTAAAGTTATTCTTGCTGGACATGTAAATAAGGTAGAAACAAGGAAAAGAAAAAGTTGATGGACAAAACCAGCAGTAATGTTCAGGAACTGATTTCTCAAGAAAACTGAGAAATCTTCCCATCGAGATCTGTAGGTGTTTTACTATCTGGTTCCTTAGAACATCTTTTAGGATCACAGGAGATCAAGACCAGTATTTTGATGGTGCTCTTTCAGTTTTCACGTAGCACTGGTGGTTAAAGCCATGTTTATAATGCTAAGGCTTGTTAATGTGATGACAGCTATGTTCCTGTCGTGCTGCCAAGCTGATTAAGACTCCCTCCATACTGGAGATGTATCGTATTCGCAGCTCTCAGAGGCTAGCCAGGAATGCTAGCTCATACTCTTTGTGTAGATAAGTAAACTGCCATAAGCCTCTGCTTCCTGGAAAAAAGGAAAAAAATGCGTACTGTTTAACTGAAAACAGTAGCTTTGCTGGCTGGCATCAAGGGACTGTACCTGGGCAGCTGTCCCAGCATGAACAGAAATGACATTTTCCCAGTATCGCTAAAGCTCAAGCTATACAATACGCTTCAGAATCCACCTATACAAGGAAGAGAAGCAACTTTCTCCCATCAAAACGACTTTTCTCCCTTTTTAATATGGTTTGGGACTGCCGCCACAGCAGTTTTGTAACTACCAAAAAACCACACTGAAAACCCCTAACAAGTTTTAACAGCTTTAGCTTCCTTTGTACTTACAGAACTTTTTTCATCTTCTTTCTTAAGTCAACTGTTAAACACAGAGTTAAGGTAGTAAAGTGACCCTCCCACTTTCCAAATTTCCTGAAACAGGTAGAAAAATTTCAACCCTAGGTATGCTAGCAATATTTGGGGCATTTTCTTCTTAAAAGAGGCTTAATTCTGCCACCATCGCACATGGAACTAAGGGTGGAAACACCCGTCAATAGTAACAGAGTATAGAGGTGAATTTCTTGCCTTTCATGATGGAAAAGACTCTGAGTGGCACATTTCAGTAATTCCTTACTGAAATAAATATTCAAAATGCAGTATACAGTGTGGGTCTCTTAGGTACAAGGGCTGAAGCACATGACGTACAAAGAGTCTCAGAGAACTGGGTTTCTTAAGCTTGAAGAAAAGTCTCGTTGCCACCTACAGATACCTAATGTAAGGGTGAGCAGAGATAGAGCCAAACTCTTCCCAAAGCTACAGTGTTGAAGGACAAGAGGCAAAAGGCACAAACCGGAATTCTGACTTGGTACAAGAAAAAAAAAATTATCACAACAGCGGCGAAGCCCTGGGAATGTGCTGACCTGAGAGGCTGCAGAGTTTCTATCCCTGGAGACACACGATGCTGGACAGGACCCAGCCACGAGCGACTGGTGAGGCACTGGAACAGGTTGGCCAGAGAAGCTGTGGATGCCTCATCCCTAGAAGCGTTCAAGGCCAGGCTGGATGAGGCTTTGAGCAACCTGGTCTAGTGGAAGGTGTCCCTGCCCATGGCAGGGGGGTTGGAACTAGATAGTCTTTAAGGTCCCTTCCAGCCCAAACCATTCTATGATTCTGTGACCTGCTCTATCTGGCCTGACTCTGCAGCAGGAGCTGACCTCCAAACGTCCCTTTTAGCCTACATGGCTCTGAGAGTCTACGTTCTTTGATCACTAAGAACACCACAATATGCATATTTATTCTGGCTATTCTGGCCACATGTTATAGTTCTATAAAGTAAATTTTTAAATAATAATTCTGACAGCTCCTCACATACTACAACAGATGCTGTCAAATACGATGAATCACAAGATTCACCCATAAATATAAGTATAGAGCCGTAATTCAGTGCCAAAACACCTATTTGAAAATACAAGTCATTTTAGACAGAAGTTGGCACTTTTGAGCCCTGTAGTGTCATTCATGAGAGTTGATTATAAAATTTTGTATTATATAAACAGAGACACAGTGATAATTTCAGCTGCATAGGTAAGATGTACCTTAAATTATTTAGAGGCCAGTGACAATATAATAACATTTAGTGATTTTTCCATCTCAGAACTCCGGCTGCTGCAGCCTGCCTGTACTTGCAGTGACAGTTTAACAGATTTTCATCTTGAGATGTTTGCCATGCCAACAGTTATGCCTGTGGTAAGGGCAAAGCTTGGGGTCTTAACTTAAACCATGCTCGTTTTCAGTTGAAGCTAATACATCGTGGTAAGACCTGCCAAGAAACTGGCATATATTTGCTTCTGTCAAACTTTGTACGGTGACAGAAACCTCAGCAAAAGGATGAGATGGCATGCCAGGAGCAGTAACCACTAAACTGCACCCACATGACTTCACAGATTTCATTTGCCAGGGTTTTTAGTACAACTTTAACTGGGGAGGGGGCTGGAGGGGGAAGGAAGGTTTTGCCAGAATGTTTGTGACAAAATTGCTCAAGGAAAAAAAAGAAACCAGTACAAACAATAATTGCAAGTCATTTAAAAAAAAAAAGGAAACAGTGGATAAAAAATACTGTTCAGAATACTATTCAAAGAGACATTACATCATTAACACTCAGCCAGGGAAAATGACAATAAGAAATCAGCTGTTTCTGTTACCAGAGCAGGAGGCTTCCTTATCAGAGAAACAAAGCAGCTGCCTTACGCAACTGAATGAAATGCTGCCACTGATGTCAATGAGAGCAGGGCCAGAATAAGCAATAGTCACCTCTGACACAACCCTGCAGCCTGGAAAGAAAATGCAATGTGCACGAGAAGCTCTATGAATCCATGTCGAGTATTTCATGGCTAATCTGAACCAAGAGAGTCACTGTGCAAAGTCTTCTGCAATCAATGTATAAGATTTTATTTTGGGTAGGTAGAAACTATGAGGTAGTTGAAATTCAAACCATGTTTCTCAACTATACTGGGTTTCATAAAGTAGAAGGCAGTTTCAATGCTTTAAACGGAACGGGTTCAGTAAAACTGGTCGTCTTGCTCCAATTCCTAGGTTAGGTAAATGGGCCTATCTTTTTCCTTCTTGAAAGTATGAAAAATAACCCAGAACTTGGCCCTAAAAACATAATTTTTTAAAAGAACTTACAGGATATCACCTGTCACTTCGAGTTAGGAATGAATTTTGGACAGTTATTTAAACAGGCTTTGCGGCAAACAGCAGATTTAGTGAATTAATTTAAATACTACATTTGAATTTACAGATTATGCAATTTAAATAATTAAACAAAAGTGTACGTAATTTTATTTTTACCATGATATTTCATTTGTTTGTTTTTAACTCATACTTTTTAACATCCCTCAAAAAAACCCTCAAAATGAAAATCTACATTCCTGTGTCACACAACTTGATTGCTAGGTGAGGCCACAGTAATTAAAAACCAGACAGCCTTCTATATGAAGCTGACAGTGTTAGTCAGGTAAGGTTTACATGGGTTTTCAATGCCAAACCAACTGTTATTTTATGCTTTACAAGGCCTTACATTAAAGAACATAGAAGCGGTATTATCACGCTGACACGTTCCTCAAATGTACAAGCTAACACACTGTGGCACTATAAAGTTAGGCAAAAACCTGCTGTGAACTTAAAAGAGTGATCACAGATCTATTTTTGTAATCATCAGCTTTTCGGTTTGGAAGTCTTCATGGCATAAATGAAAGCAAATCCTCGTGAATATTGCTGCAAAAACCCCGAAGTGGAACACGAATACACCCACACTTCGATATCCAGCACACTGGCACCCTGAGGTAAGGCACAACCAGAATCCACGTCGACATTTGTTGTCACTGAGTTGCTAAAGCAAAGAGGCACCCGCTAACTGATTCTGTGCAGGGAGAATGGTGTTTAGTCTTCCTGTGCTTGCAAATAAAGAGTCATTTTAAGGCTCTTGCCTAGAGATAGAAGAGACTCGTAAAACCAGACGGCAAGCATGCTGAGGATGTAGTGATGCAGCTACACCTTGTTCTAGGTCATTAATAAACTGGATTTTCCTCTATTCGGAGATAAGAAAGAGTCTGAAGCGCCTTCCCTGCTGAATAGGGGAAATAGCATACCTCTATCTCTTTTCTGGATTTCCCATTAATTTGAAAGACTTGTTCTTCCTTACAAATTACATCTGATATTCTAGGTATTATTGGAGCTGCCTTCTGGGTGTTCCAGACGCCCAAGCAGCTGCCATCAGTCATTCAGGAAGCAGCTTGTGCTCGATGCATCTGGTGGTTTGGCAGAAATTCGTCACCAACTCTAACAGTGAGGAGAGCCCATACAGAGATCTGACTCACACCATGAGTGACTGGGGTGACTGGCACAAGGAGGACTAGCATTCAGCCAGCCTTCTCTTTAAGCCTGTGTACCATGTCAGATATCCAACTGCTCCAGATCCGCTGTCATCACTCCTCCATTAGCTTTCTGTCCTAAGCGGAGCCTGAGACTGGATGGTAACTGGTATATGGTCCAGCCATTTTGGTGGAAACAGATCTTTGTAACAAACCATTCATTATTAAATCGTATCATTTGCTGCCTAATAGTAAGCGGTTAAGTTTTGGAAAGACCTTCCTCTAATCCTAGCTCTCCCTTTCAGCAACACATCCAACTTTTCCTCTCTCTCCATTTTCACACCCTACGCTGAGAAACTGTGAAGTCTAATTTTATCTTACAAGCTGTTGAATGATATGAAATAATTTCATTACTTCAAAATAACAAAAAAGCACAACAAAATACCTTGCTCAGAAATTGAAGCTGGGCAAATTAATGCTAGATACAAGGTGCAAAATTAGAATACTGTGAGAATGGGTGCAGCTTCAGGAGCTGCGTTGACTTACTGACCACCAACATGGTGTGTTCCCCCTTTTCACAGCTTATTCACTGTATTGTCCCCTTTGCTCACAGTCACATGTTCCCACCTGTTACCTCTGCCAAAACAAGAGCACGTTGGACTGCTCTGCTTTTAACTAAATCAAACTGCATTAGTCTGTGCCACAGTGACTGCGTGAGGACACAGGCGAGTGTCAGAACCAGGACAAAGGAAAGGAAGGGACGACACATACAGGAAGAGTGGAGCAAGCCATTACCTCCACAGTGACAACGGGATACACAAAGCTCTCTAATTGGCTTTGGGAGTAACTATGGAAGCTGGGAAAGTTGTGATGGACTCTACCTCTAAAACCTTTAAGACACGAGAATATTTTCTTAAGTGAGTTAAACTTTGACACAAAGTAGAATTAATTCTAGGAAGCACTACAGACAGCTCTACAGAAAAGGTCAGACTAGATGACATCCCTTTAAGAATTCGTTTACACAATTTTAAGTACTGCTGAAACAAACACATGCAGTACAGACCTTTGCAACATTCAGCTTAACATACGAGCAGAAAAGTCATAGCTGCTAACCCACGTTATGCGATTCAGGAAATACTGTTGAGTGTCTCAGCAGCTTAGGAACACTGTTTATGGGATAGGGAGATGAGGCCAAGCAATACATGTGGGTGCATTTCAATTAAGTTCTGGTAATTTCTCTGAGCTCACGCTGCTCATCATCTCTCAGAAGGCAGTAAACAGAACATCTGAACATGCATGTTGGACACAGCCGCATCTACAGACGAAGTATGTAACAAGTACTTACTGAAATAAAGATGTTAAGCAGGTTTTCCAGTGTTGGGAGCTGTGGAATCAGTTTCTGTACCACTTTGCTAAACGCTTCAAATATAGAATGATCATATATGCTTGTCAGATAAAAGCTGGAAAAAAACGTCACCACATTTTCCTTTTAGCCACATACTGTGAACATGATGTACCTTTCATCATATGAGTGAAATGAAATATTGTCAAACAGCAAGTGCCTACACTTATGCAATTACCCCTTGTGATCAAAAGTCAAATTATGACTGAAGCATAGGACTTCAACTCTATACAAAAAGCCCTAGACACTGCAAACTAGACCTCGTTGTAGAACTTCATGGGGCAACTCCCACTTTGGCATTCTTACAAAAATATTTTTCAGAATGCAGGAAAGGAATATTACTGAGTATGTCTGCTGTGATCTACTTTCTGTAAACTGGGAACCCATTTATCAATGCAGTGATGCAGTCAGGTTGTTAAGAGGTCTAAAGAGCTGGCATGTTCCCAAAGAAGGTCTCCCTTTTTAATATACTCGTACATGGCTTTAAGTGTTACGAAAGACATGACATCAACATGACAATTTGATGTCCCCCAGTTCCCAGCCAGTGTAAGTCCACTACTTTTCACTACTTGCTACACTCATCTGCTTTATCAGCAGACCTAAGGCAAAGATACAGCACCTGTCTTCCCAAGTGGCTCCAGGCAGGCTGCAGCAGTGAGGACTACGGTTTGGGAGGGACTGTGAGGCAGAGGTTTCAAAGACAGCAAAAGTGATGTAGGTGACATATACACTCTACTACTGGCTGGAGATCTACTGGTTGCTGCCACTGTCCAAGCAACTTATTTCAGGACAGCAGCTGCAGCAAAAACTGGTAGGATTCTGAGTATCTGTCATCTGGTTTTAAGCACATCTCCTCTCCACCTTTTCTTCCAGGACAGCAATCAGAAATAAGATACTTTGTTTGGCTCAGGTCAAATGCAATGCCTCTGATTATCCTTTTCCTTCATATATCACAAGCTTGTTGCCTGCTACTTCAAGAGAACAGAAAATGGTAACTTATCAGATAAGCTGCTCTCCTCTGTAGGATATTCTGCACAGCAGCTATTCTCACCTGAGGTGAATCTTCTCCAATCCAGCATCTGCAAGGTCATCATTTGCCCTCTGGTGAATATCTCTTTGTGTTTCAATCTTGTGATCATCAGACAAACCATCCACTTTATGGATAAAGATTTCAAAGTTGATATCTGGGTTCACTTTATAGGCTCTGGTCACAGTAAGATGCAGCCGAGCTAATGCTTCCATATAATCATCCTAATGAAGGAAGAAGAAAAGCTGCAACTGTAGGAAATGTCTTTAAAATACATATAACATCTTATGATACTTACTTTCAGATAATGCTACAGTTCAACAAGAGTTTAATGTTTATATTTCTTGTAAGCAGAAGCCTGAGCCTACATCCAATGTGTGCACCAATCTCATGCTGTTGGCAATTAGAAATCTGAGCAAGAACCTTGAGATGTTAAAGAAAATTAGTTAACTTCTGAACATACTGCAGAGAGAGATTAAAAATAACCAAGCAGCTCTTCAATGACTTTCTTTCAATGTGTGTTTGTGATGTAAGTTATTTATTTGCTCTGAAAACAATCTATGCTTTCCAATCTGTTTGTCTACTGCTGAAGGAAGAAAAGAAAAAGGTAGCTTAAATCCCCTTTTTTTACCTGAGAATCAATAACAAATATCAGTGCTCCAGTGCCTCTGAAAATCATCTCATAGTCAAATGTAGGGTCAAAGAAGTCAATCTGCCCAGGAAAATCCCATATCTGAAAGTTGACAAAAGAGCTGTTGGAAACATCCTCTCTGCAGATCTTGTTTGTGCTCTCCAAGAATAGAGTCTCATTCGGCGACATTTTGTGAAAGACAACTTTCTGAATGGAAGACTTCCCACTTCTTCTCAATCCCATGAGCAGGATTCTTGGCTTAACTTCAGTACTGAAGGGATCATTGAAATCCAAAACTGAACAAAATCACAGAAGAAGAAAAGTAATATACTATGGCAATATAATAAGTAACTGCCAGATAACATGCATTTGATACTTATTTTCATGTTATTTTTACTTGGATATACCTAAATGTTACCAATGTTTAACCTTAGGTAGCAGTGCTACAGACATTTTAACTTTAATTATTTGCCCCTTAGGCTACACTATCAGAAAACCTACTTCTCATCTGTAAGATAGAGACTACAAAAGGCTTGATTGCTCAGTCTGTATGCGTAACTAGTATGTGTTATTGCAAACATACATCCTAAAATACCTAATTTTATTCTAATTAACACTATGCCACATATATTCTAACTCAACTTTAAAAGAATACTATCTGGTAACAAATACCTTTGTCAACTGATAGTTACATCACACTGCTGGAACAAAGGAGCAAGTTTGTGTTAGTTACATCTGTGTGACCTTCCTAAGGCAACATGAGGGCTTTCTTCCTCTAAAACAAACACACACATTCATTCATACATCCCAGGAGCTACAGGAAGATGACAATTCAGCAGGCACACAATTCCTCTATAATGGGACTTATAACACAGTGCTGAGCTCATGAGGAGTCCTTTCCCAAGGTGGTCAGGATTTCACCTGGTACTGAATAATTTGTGTTAAAATCTATAAAAGTTTGTTATCCAATAAATAAGGTTACAGCATACCTATCCCCTGCCTATTTGCAAAACAAAGGCCTAGGAACACAGTGATTTCATTGTGTTACCTATTCCAGTTTGAAACTGGTACCACAAAACCAGAACAGTTTCCAGTGCTGATTATTTATATATATTATATTAGCATAAAAGTAGTTACAGGAGTAAACTATCCTGTCGTATCTGTAAGCCCACAAATGTATAGCTATCCACACCTGTAAGCACACCAACTTCAGTTTCAAGTATCTTAATCAAACCAGCTACAACAGTCTCAATTGCTGCATTTAATTGCCCTGTAACGTTGAAATGTCCGAGCTGAAAACTGTACAGTGTGTAAAAAGCTTTCAAACATCTCTGTGATATCCTGTCTGCAGCATGAAACACAACCAAAGCAAAAAACTGAGCTGTCGGTGTTAAATCTGCAGACTAAGGCCCACAGCACACAGTGGTCAGGTTTAAAATACTGATCAGCCAACAGGCTAAAGAAACTAGCTGTCAGGCAGACCTTCTCCCACCCAATGCAGTACAAATTATTCAACATCATTCAGAGTGCAACGTAACTGCATTTCTTTGTCTTTTTCTGCTAGGAAAGATTTTGAATTGCGGAAAACTGCACACGTTCGTTCGTACGCATCCTTCCTGCATACTTTAAGCGATCAACTTTACTCCAAAAGTATGAAAATCCAAACCAAGAAACCATAGCAACAGCAATTTGAACCTTTCAATTTATTGCAGAGCCTTATGGGCTAAAAAACATGGAAAGCTTGAAGGAACCATTTGCTTTGGAACACATTTTGCCTACAGGGGTGGTCATCACATCCATCCTCCTGTGTTCCTCAAGCCTCACTCACTACTTTCAGAAACACAAGAGCAGGATGTGCCTGCCAGGAGGGCACGGAATCTAGCTGGCACCTGTTTGTGCCTGCTGAGCTTCAGTTACCCAGCCATGGGGCTTCCCATCTGAAGGTCTTGTGGTGTTCCCATAAATCATCCCTTGGCACCATCTACTGGCTTGTGAGCGGCTGTGCCACCCAGCGTGGGCCTGTGTCACCACAGCGACTGACTGACTGACAGACATGGAGCTGAAAACTCATTATTCCTGGGATCCTATCCATTTTAAACACAACTGAAAGGCCTTGACAGGTACTGCCACTTACTGTGCTCTCGCCAATTATCACACTGAAGCACTGGCAGGCTGGAGCAGCGCACAGATCAAGCAGATCAGCGGCAGGTAACTCCGTAAGAATCTCATCCTCCTAACCAGCAATGGTCAACTTCTGCTGATCCATGGACAACATGTTTAGGAAGTAATACCCTGCAGTCAACATGCTGCTCTACTCTTCCTGTCGACCTTAACAGTGACAGTATCCTCCTGTGGCTGCAAGAAACACGTGCCTACAATACTTCACACTACAGAGGAATAATTACAGAACCACAGAATGGTTTGTGTTGGAAGAGACTTTAAAACCCTCCTAGTTCCAACCCCCCCTGCCATGGGCAGGTACACCTTCCACTAGACCAGGTTGCTCAAAGCCTCATCCAGCCTGGCCTTGAACACTTCCAGGGATGAGGCATCCACAGCTTCTCTGGGCAACCTGTTCCAGTGCCTCACTACACCCTCCGGGAAGAATTTTTTCCCGATATCCAATCTAAAACTACTCTAGGATGATGTAACAATATTTTCTGGTTTGGGGGTACAGTCTTGTCAATAAAGCAAACCAAAGGTACAGGATTTAACAGTGTTTCCTCCACCTCTCTCTCTTCTTCAACGCACAAATTCTCCACAGCTGCCAAATGTGTAGCTGCAATTTCATTAATGTGCTATTCATACAACATGCAATTTACATTCTGGCCATCAAAGGGGAAAACAATTTATCCAAAGCTTTACAAGAAGTATTTTGAGTAAAATACTTTATAAAGGCACATAAAGAACTGTCTTCTGGTTGAGGCTTTATTACGTTTCAAAAAAATTAAAAAATCCTCACATTTGCTCTGTACACCACAGAACTTACAAAGTCTAATTTGCTACAGATTTGTACTTTGTGTCCCCTTCCTCTCCCCACCACAATAACACCAACTTCCCCCCCCATTATGTCTTATGACATATCCTCTGAATAACAGATATGACACGCTGTGGCTGATCTGGAGCTCAACACATGCCGGCTGGCTGGAGCACACACACGTGTTATCCCCATTTGCCAGGTGCTGCCACAGAGAACACACAAATCTGCTCACCTGACCCTCTGACAACACCTTCATTTGGGTCTCTCCTCTCTACTGAATGCCAGTTCTCAGCAAACCTGTGGGAACTTACTCTTACATTTGAGACGCTTTCGTTCAAATCTGGTTGAAGGTGGACAGCAGTTTCCAAAGTTCTGACTGCCGATAACACAACCAAAAGACAGCCTACCTACCTCGCTCCCTTTTAAGAAACAGTCTAAAACCTCACATTTCTCTAAAAATATATTTTAAATAACTTGGGGGTTTACACTGTTGATGTATTAAATTATTCCAGGCTCTTAGATTTTTATGGACTGTAATACTTACTAGAAAGCAATTGCTTTATACTAAAGCCATACTAAAAAAATCCAGTTGCAAGTGCAAACAGTGTTACCGGTGAACACTTCTGCTAGTAAGACTGCTATTTAGCTTTTGAAATCCTGCCAGTTCAAAGCCAGGGAAATGTAAATGAACACCATCCAAGCCTGACTAGATAGCAAGGCTGCTATAGCACTTTCCTCTGAGAGAGAGTTAAGAGATTACCTTATATGTAAAGGAATTGGCCCATGAGCTGCCTGCCCACATTCCTTTGCGGAGTACATGACAACTCCTTCTTTAATTTGCCACAGAAATGCCAGCAGATGTATCACTGCAACTTCCCAGACTAGGTTACTGAGTGAGATCATAATATCCTTAAGAGAAACATTAAGCTCTCCTCTACTCTGTAGTTGGAAAGAGAATTTTCCCTATTGTGAGATGCAACACATTTCCTGCTTCACTCACTTTTTCAAAGAGTAAATGTTATAAAATGACAGTTTCTAACACACATCAACAGCCCTTCGTATTTCAACTTTTCTACGCAGCCGTAAAGAACAGAAGTCACGCTTGTTGGAGGCTGTATCCTTTGAAGTATTCACAAATAAAACTTAACAAACCCCAAAGCATTTTTCCCCACAGAGAAACACTCAACTCCTTACAAAACTTCTGTAATTGCAGTTGCGTCCTTGCTTATGGAGCGCAATTTGTGTGTGCTGCAACATGCAGAAGGACCCAGCTCTGAGGAGTTAACTGAGAACTGCACGTAGTAGTCCTGACCTCTCTCTCACCAGGACGCACAGTACACAACAAACACTTTAATGTCTCCTTCACGCTACTGGAGATACGCACTGATAACTAAAATAGCTTTTGAAGCCTGTCCTGAATTCCACATCAGCTGCAACTGACTGGCAAAGCAGGTGACTATCGGTGCTTCTTGGGCGTATGCGATGGGGATGCCACGTTGCAAGGTGTATTTGTAGATCACACCAGGTTTCAAAGCATCCAAATAAAGCATTGCAGTTCATCTCCTCAAGTGACATCAAGCCAAAAGAAACTATTTTGCTCATGTTACCGTCCGTAAGGTAACAAGCCTCCAAGTCCAGATTTAAACTACTACAGCCAATAATGATTTTTTTCCCCCACCCAGTAATGCATTTATGTTAAATTTTTAACCTTTTATGTCTAAAGGAGAATTAGCAATCCCAACTTCCCACTCATGTACCTTCAAGCCCATCGATCCTGCAGCATTTCCAGCACTACTGTGACATCTGCAGTGCTCTGGAGTGCTGTCAAGGAACTAGCCTTACGAAAAACCCACAGTGGACATCTTCAATACTAACACACAGTCTGAACCTAAGGAGTTAACAGTAAAAGCTTATATGGAATCAAGAAAGCTGTTCAGCTACTGCAGGTTCATAAACATTGCAGAAATGCGTGGTGGAAGGAAATTCTTGTGGCTAAAGAAAAGATTCAGAACCAGAAGACCTGGTTCCACTCTGCCACAAGTGCGGCACTCTGCAGCAGCTTTCCCTGCTTCTACATATTTTTAAATTGCATATATCAAAAATATGACCAGGCTTTATGTAAACTATGTGCTTTAAGATCTCTGAGTATGATCCTACATGTAAAGTACAAAGATAAAGAGGGCAAGAATCCAGTATGGGGTGAGACATGACCAATATGAAGTTTTGAAATCTCCCGTATGCCTACAAGCACAAATTATGCTTTTACTTTTAAGCCTGGCTTCTCCTTTCACTTTCAACAGCCACACACTG